GGGACAGTGATTCAACAGGCCCAGTCATGTGTGGAGCCAGCAGGAGCAGGGAGGTAGGAGACTACGGGAGCAGAGGTATCGATGATTCAGTAGCAGTAATAATACACACAGCCCAGCTGGGCCTCATGCAGCCAGTATCATGTGGTCAATTTAGCATTTTCCAATTGACGACCGTGTTTGTTTTATTATTTTCATATTTTGGGGAGGGAATTTAGTTTTTGGTGCGCAGTTCAATTCTTCTATGCGCGCTGATGTGTGGGTACACTGCGAGTCGGGGGTCAGTCTTGGGGACTGTGGACCCCTGGCTGGGCAGGTCTCTCCACACGCCCGCGGCCTTCTGGCTGAAGAAGTGCCTCCTGCTCCCGGGCTGAGTTGCACTTCTGCCCCGTTCCCGCTCGGCACCGCTGGGTGAGGAAGTTCGCTGGGTGGACTCTTCAGGAGTCTGAGTGCTTGTATGGGAATCCTTCGTAATCATGTCTTCTTTAAGATTAAAAAACACTCCGTTCCCTCTCCCTGTCCGTGCAGGGCATTCACTTTAACCCCAGAACTGATTCTGGACTGATTCTACAGCAGCATCTCTATAACTGCAAACCACAAGTGTTCACAATATTCCAGCTGAGGATTTACAGCGCATTACACAATCTCAACACGACGTCCCTTGAGTTCAATTCTATGCTTTTAGCTCTATATCCTAACATTTTGTATGACTTCACTACATTATATAAAATATGTAAATGACGTGGAAATACAAACATTCATTTTTTTCCAAAGACGCCTTAGGTATCGCAGTGCTTTTCATATTGTATTTATAGCTGCTTCGCAGTACCTCGCCCTTGTTTACATTAAACGTTCTCTGCCCGGGCTTTAGTCCAGTCATGAGTCGTATCTAAACCTCAGATAATCTCCTGGTTTTATATATTTGTAGTTATTCTTTAACTTCGCGTAACAGAGTTATGAATCACGTTCATACTAAGAGACTGTCTCTGAACCCGGGACCAGCAGCCCTACCTCATGCAACCACCGGCGTATAGCCTGTCCAGACCAGTTGCATATTTAAAAATACATTTTCATTGTTGAACTTCTCAATACAGCCTAAAGGTACAACTAAAACATATGCGAGGATATACAGCTATTGGCAAAGCGTGGGGAAAAAAAACAACAACATGGCATATCAAATAATGCACCGTCCGTCAGATCGTTTAAATCAGGGATGATCAGCA